CTAATGTAAGCCGACCTGCACATGGAAACTGCCTGTTGTACCAACTGTACTCCGGACTTTAGTTGTTACATCCTTGTAGCATTCTTGTACTATTCTTACATACTTATCTTGCACTCCTCCTTCCCTCAATCCTCTCCATACTTCTTGGCGTGGTACCCTGTCATATGCTTTCTCTAAGTCAATGAAAGCCATATGCAGCACCTTTTGCTTTTCATGATGTTTCTCCATAGTTGGCCTGAGCGAGAAGATGCCATCAACCGTTCCAACTCCCTTCATAAATCCAAGTTGTTGCCTTCCGATGTGGACTACCTGTCTTAGTCTGCTATCTAGGATCCTCTCTAGCAGCTTCAAGGTGTGGGACATCAACTTAATACCACGATAGTTTTCCCAACTTTGTATATCTCCTTTCTCTTTAAAGATCGGTATTAAGACACTCTCTCTTCACTTCTCTGGTATGACTTCTTTTTCCATTATTTCGTTCATGAGTTGATGCAATATGTCAACTCCGTCTCCATCTAGCGCCTTCCAAACTTCAACCGGTATGCTATCTGGCCCTGTCGATTTACCATTCTTCATCTTCTTCAGTGCTATGATCACCTCCTGTCTCGTCACTTCTGCTACCTCTTGGTTGTTTGGTTCTCCATCTTCTCTCAGGAACCTTTCATTTTCTTCGTTCAGTAACTTCTCAAAGCAATCTTTCCACCTCATCAAAATCTCTCTTTCCTTTCTTAACACTATTCCTCTTTCATCCTTCATCTGTCTTATATGTCTGATATCCTTTGTGCTCTTATTTCTTTGTTTTGCCAACTTGAAAACCTTCTCCTGTCCTTCTTTAGTGTCTAACTCTTCATATAGTCTATCGTACGCTTTTGCTTTCGCGATTGCAACAGCTCTTTTCGCCTCCTTACAGTACTCCTTGTAGTTTTCTCTATCGTGATCTAGTTTGGTTTCTTCCCATCTTTTCTTGGCAATCTTCTTAGCTTTCACTTTCTTTTGAACTTCTTCATTGAACCACCACGCTTCTCTATTTTCCCAAATTTTGCCACTAGTCTCACCAAGCACTTCTATCCCAGTTCCGATGATGTTTGCACTGACTCTGTTCCACCATTCGTTGACATCCTCGATTTCCAGGTCAATATCTCTTAGAACTCGGTCTTTAAACTACTGCTTTGGGTCATGATCTTTCAGTTTGAACCACTTTATTCTTTTCTCTGTGGTGACTTTCCTTTTCTGCCTTCGTGTCACAGCAATGGCGAGGTCGATGGCTACCAACCGATGCTGTAACGTCACATGATCACCCGGTATTACCTTGCAGTTTTTAATCTCCTTGATGTTTCTACGGCGGTAGAGGAAGAAGTCTATCTGACTTGCTTGCTCTCCACTACGGTAAGTAATTAGGTGTTCATTTCTCTTACTAAATAGAGCATTTCCGATCACCATGTCTAAGGATAAAGCAAAGTCAATTATCTTCTCTCATTTCCATCTCCATACACATTTCCCCCATGTATCCGGCTGATTGCATCATATCCACTTCCAATATGTCCATTCATGTCTCCTCCAACTATGCATCTTTCACTTTCATCAACCTTTTCCATTTCTTCTTGCAGAGCAGTCCAAAATTGTGTCGTTTCTTCCTCTGTACATACCGTGGAATGAGTAATAAAGTATGTAATTCAAAGTTGCCATGTAAATTCTTATTCAATATTCAGGATTTATCCGAAAACTTTCTTTTAGTATATATAAGTAATACTTGAATTAAGTTAATTGAGTTAATTACCAGTTAGCTACTTTTATCATTTTTAATGATAATGATCATCATCACAATGTTAGTAATAATAACGTTAATGATTATGTAACTAAAAAAAACAAATTAAAAAATGATATTGATTTAATGTTTGATACAAAATTTATTTAAACTTTGATATAAAAAAGATAAGATTTATTAATTTATAATTTTCAAGTATTACTAGAATTCAAAATTGTCATTTCCGTGAAGTACTCGTACATATTGCAAAAAATAAAATAATAATAATAATGATAAAATCACGACGGGTTTAACACTTGTCATAACGACTTTAATAATAATCATAGATGTATTATGAAATCTGAAACTTGCATAATCATTGGACCTTTATGATCTTAATTCCGTAAGCAAAGACAAGAATAGAAGCTTTTTCCGACTACGAAAGAGATACAGAGGCCAATCGATAAAAGATACAAGAAGGCGGCGTTCCTGCCAAACAAAGGCGCCTGCAAACTTTTCTTCTTCACTATGAGTTTCCAAGAATAAGGATAATGTAAAAATCGAGGAGAAAAAGTTTCCTTTTTCTTTCTCTTTTGACTGAAGCTTTGAATACCGAGATAAGAGAGCGTATTTTTGTTCGATAAACTTTTGTGTTATCAAGACATCAGTACATACCATAATGCCAGCGACCATCCATCATGGATTAAGACAGAGGAGCTGATATTATGCGATAAAGAGGTTGTATGAAGAGATTAA